CTATGGATGGTTCTAGATATTCTAAGTTTAAAAATAAACGTGAATTCATTCATCACGCAATTGGGACGGTTTTTTTTTTATTTTTTATTTTTTTGATTTAAAATCATTAATCAAACATTATCCAAAAAAATGGCTATAAATCTGGATAGAGAGTTTCCATTATTATGTTTCAGGTTTGGGTTGATAAGGGTGGTGTGATTGTGATTGTCCAAATGTGACCCCCTGTATGTAGTAAGTTCTCCTCCTTAACCATAAGTTTTATCTAGGTTAGGTCACCTAATCTCGTACCTTAGGATAATCTTCTTGTTCACTAGTGCTACACTCTACACAAGTGAAGTATTCTTAGGGATGGATAGATTAATCTAGACTCAGTCCTAATTATAAAATCTCTAATTCGAGTTTAGCTTGATTTCGAATTCAACCACTAAGTACTGATTGTATTTTAAGTTTTTTAATTTGGTCAGAAGTTTGGGTTTAATTCTCAGCTATTATTTCTGGGTAATAAATCAATTCTAATTCATGTTTGATTCTCAAAATTCGAGTTGAACCATGCTCACTAATTCAATTTGGTCTTGAGAACCCAAAACCTCAATCGAAACACTCATATTTTTTATTTATCTAAACTCAACTCCAGCATTTCAAATCTCTATTAGAATACTCTGTTTGGTATAATGATGGGAGAGAAGAAAATGATGAACGCCAAACTCCAACTTTTTAGGAGTGATGCTTTAATGAGAGGATAAAAATGCCTAAATTTGATACACCTTACCCTTTGTTTGGTTTAAATAAAAATTGAGATTATAAACGATTGAGAGTGAAAAATATGAATGAAAGAATCTTTTTTCCCTCATTTGGTATCAAAAGAAATATGGGTGAAAAGAAAAAAAAATTGGATGAAGCGACCCTCCATTCTGCCCCCACAAAAGAATCTATCGAAATTTGGAGAAAATATTTAGTTTAACGGTTATATCATATCAATATTTTTAATTAATGATATCATATCATTAATACTAACACGATATAGAACAAAATGTTTTTTCGGAATTTGGGTGGAAAACCGAGTTGAAATTAGCGAGCTTGAAGTGAGAGGGATATAATTACTGATTTAACCCATAGTATGTGTTCCAAATGCTATCAAACTTTAAGGTGGTGAACTCTTGCACACGTGTTCGATTTGTTAAGTATTTGCTTAATGTTCTGCTTGGTATGATAGAAAAATAAAAGAATAGAACATTGAAAAGATGAAAAGTTTGATAGATAAATAAAACATCATATTTGGTAAAAAAAAGAAAATATGAAGGATGAAAAAGTGAATGAATTAACTTTCTTTTTAACTCACCAAAATTAATCCCTTCAAAATTGAAAGAAAAATAGATGAAAAGTTAATTATTTGTATTGAGATGTATTTTATTTGTCTATATATTATGTATATATATTAATTTCATATAATAATACAATGATAAATATATATATATATATATATATATATTAAAAATATTTTAAAAAAAATATTTTAAATTAAAAAAATATTTTTTCATCTTAACTAAGGGTAAAAATTTTCGACTCAACACAATGACACGACTCAAACTCGACACGAATTTTATGATACGAACTTGATTATAACTTAATACAAATTTAAAAATGACCTAACACGCCATCTATTCAATCAAACATAAATGAAGGAAAATGTATCATTCATACTTTTTATCTTTGAAAGATAGAAAGTGCATCACTCCTACTTTTCATCTTTTTTACTTTTCATCCTTTCTATCAAACAACGCATAAAGGATGTTACGTGTTCCAATTGTTGACCACATGTGAGCTTTAATATATGTAAGGGTATAATTGTAAATTAATTTTTTTATGTGTTTTATTTTTTCTCATTTTTCCTTCAACATAAAATAATAAAAAAATATATCCTCTCAACTTTCTATTCATTATTACAAACGAAAAAAAAAGGTATTTTCTTCTTCCATAGATTGAAAATTTATTCATCTTAATTTTCTACTTCTCCTATCTTTCGCATCTCTTGCCAAACAAAACATCGTATTAAACTTTATAGCGACGCAAAACTCATGCACAAAATCATTTTACGAATCAGCCGGTAGGGGATGGTTTTGGCTCTTGAGATTTTTTTTTTAGTTTAAAAGTCAGAAGTATTTAGATTAATTTATACGTACTTTAATTAATCTTCTTNGTGATGCTTTAATGAGAGGATAAAAATGCCTAAATTTGATACACCTTACCCTTTGTTTGGTTTAAATAAAAATTGAGATTATAAACGATTGAGAGTGAAAAATATGAATGAAAGAATCTTTTTTCCCTCATTTGGTATCAAAAGAAATATGGGTGAAAAGAAAAAAAAATTGGATGAAGCGACCCTCCATTCTGCCCCCACAAAAGAATCTATCGAANTCTCTCGTAACCTGATTTCGAAAAATTATCCAGATTGAAACATAAGGAGTCTGTGACGCTTTTTAATTACGAAGATAAACGCCGTCCCTCTAATTTGTTGAACCGATAAGGTGGTTGCAAATCATAAAGACCATCCACCAACGCTGTTATGCAACCCGTGTGTGTGTGAGAGAGAGAGAGAGACATGTAGCAGATGCACAACTTAGTCAAGAAAATAGTTGGAGCAATGAAGGACTAGTTGGAGAAATTAAAAAGTACTTTATGTCATGTCACAGCCCATACATGAGTGATGAGTGCGGAGCTATGTCCACTTGTTCGATTCAATTACATGCGTCCCAGCAGCAATCATATGTGTCATAACATATTCCTTACTCCTGTCCACTGCCCAACCTTTCTACATCCAATTGTCTTCCCGTTTTTCCTCGGAACTATTATTACGCAAACACAGTTGATCAGCCAGTTGAGTTAATGGGGATATTTAACTAAGGACTTGACTATGGTATGGTTGAAATTTTTTTTATTCCATTCCTTTAAAATTTATTATTTTTAAAAGATATTTTTCTAATTTTTGTGACTTATTTTATTATTAAAAAAATTATCACTTTTGTAACTAATTTATCACTTTTATAGGTATTTTTATCATTGTGAGTATTTTTTTTTACTACTTTTTTTTTGTACAAAATAAGTTATTATTTTTATGGGTGATTTACCTTATTTATAGGCACTGTTGTCTTAAATAATTTTATCATTTTTTTTGGTTCCACAACACTTGTAAAAACACCCACAAATGTAATAAAAGTAACCACAAATATGATAAATAGAGGTATGATACTGAATTTTTTTTTTGGTACCGTAGTCAATTATTTTAACTAATAGAAAATATTAATGCACTTTTTGGGTTTTGTTTGAGTTGTATACCATTACTCTTAGCTAATATTGTTCTAAATTTGGATTTTGAGTATGTTTAATCTTTTTGTATAATTTACTAAATCTTATTGTATAATTAAGGGTTATTCGTTCCTGAAGGTAAGATGTAACGTAAATGAGAAGTAATGGATTTGGGGATGAGGAGGGGGAGGGGGGGGGAATTGAATGTGAATAGGTTTGAGAGAGATGTTGGTGGCCGTTGGATAAGTCTATCTGAGACCTTCAAATGAATTTATTAAAATTTGTTTTGTTTTATATTATAGATTTACGAATGATTATGAACAATTAATATTAACTTTTCACTTGGTATTTTAGGGATATATATATATAAATTCTTTTTATAATTACTTGTGGAACTTTTAAACAAAAAAAATTGCTCAATCCTTCGCCATAATACATATCGGGCAATTAAACATAAGACAAATGAGAGTATGATATGATTGGAGCTGATTATTTATTTATTTATTTTTTTGATACTACCCAACTTCTATGGTATGTGAAGGGCTACATTAGACTTGCACACACATATTCTCTCTTTCTCTCTGTCTCTCTCATAAACTAGTAATCACTCTTAAATTATGGCTACGGTTAAAATCCATGAGTCATTAATAAGAAATTAAATTCAAGATGTCCAAGGTCATATTAGATTTTTTTTTTCTACAGTCAAGGATATTCAGACAATTTACGCGTATTTTTAACTAATTCTATTTTTGATCTGGTAAAAAATAGGTTATTCACGTCAGGACTAGGATATTTATTGTCCGACTCCAATGGATTATAAAAATTCGAATTTAAGACGTCTGAATACACAACTCGTTTATATTACCATTTGAACTACTCTCGATATTATATTAGATTTATTTTAGAATTCAAATCTGGGTAGGAAAAAAAAAAAGAGAGAAAATGTAATTTGTCCAATTTACCCAAATCTTAACCCAACGATATTATGCCTACCCCAACATTTATCAAAATTTGGATTTCAAATCAATAATATAATTAATATGTCCCACATATTTTCAACAATTATCAGATAATTATTAATATATCACATCATTTAAAATAAAAAATATATATTAAATTTATTGTCAAGATAACAGTTCTTATCTTAAGCTAATTTTTTTTGCACGACAAAGAAAGGATGAAGACAAAATAGAACGTCTAGTAATCATTTCGATAAATTTTTATTGGTGGAATCATAAGATTTATGACTGGTTGATTGCGTCTGTTACTCTCTTAGTGAACGAACTTAATTAGATTAATATAATAATTAATTATCGAACTTTAATATGAACTCTAAGACTTAAATCTTCAACCTCAAAATAAAAAGTTAAAATAGACCATCCCACTGGGTGATTCATCTTAAGCTAACTTAAGCGAGGGTAGTATGTTCGAATCTAATCGTCTTTATAATTATGTTTAAGAAATAAAAAATAAAACACTCACCTTCACTCGTGAATTTAGGGAACAGGTATATTATTTCATTCTAATGTACGGAGGGCTCTGAAACGGTACATTCTGTCTTTTAGATCTACGGACCCTCCTAGGAAACTCCGCCACTTAAAGCCCCTGCACCCCACCTCTCTCTCTCTCTCTCCTCCTCTACATATACGTCAAATCACTCACCATTCCGATGTTGATCTACAGCTACGCTAACGGCAATGAACGGAGACACGCCCCACCAACCCTTTCAACCCACCCTCAAGCACAGACACAACGGAAAACCCAACGGCTATGTTAACGGCGTGAAAGCAGGAGACGACGGTGGAGAGATGAAGAAGAAAGTTAATGGTGGTGGGTTGTTTCAGAATGCTTATTTCATGAAATGGAGGGCTGGGGATGTATTGGGTGTGGTGAAGTACCACCCTATACCGTGTGTTTTCGCTGCTTTTTTATTGTTCTTCATGGCTGTGGAGTACACCCTCCTCATGATCCCTCCTTCTTCCCCACCCTTCGATCTGGGTTTTGTTGCTACCGTGTCCCTCCATCGTTTGCTTGCCTCAAGACCTCTTCTCAACAGCCTTCTCGCTGGGCTCAACACGGTATGCATATCTGTTTTTGTGTGTGTGTGC